AATTTGGGTATCTTAATGGAATTTGGGCAAGATTCACTGTGTAGAAAGGAAGATCACATGACTTGTGAGTGGACCAATTCACTATACTATTGTTACTGCTTCTACACCTGAATGTCTGGCATTGATGCTTGTATTTCAGTATCACTTAAGTGCCGTAGGGGATTCTCCCTGTTAGGAAGAGCTGTATATGAAGAAGTGCTAGAAGTGCTGGAAGTTCTTTGGGACCCCCACAACCCTGGGGTCAAAAATGACCACTTTGATCTACAAACAGTCTTCATGACTAATGATTTTTCTCATTGGAGCCTCTGGCAAAGGGAAGCAGCTTCTTCTTGGAAGTGCTCTTTGGGGTGTTAGACTTTTGCTCTTGAAATGAATGTATTGAGTTTTCAGCTCTCCAGACCACTTGCAGTCTGGCAATGATGTGCATTTTGTTGTAAACACCATTCAACAAAGGGCTAATAATCAAGAAATTCAATGATCCTTCCATGTACCCTGTCATCACAGGTCTCTGGTGCTAATGACCATAGGAATGGCCTCCTCAAAAGCCAGCTCAAAAAAATTTTCTGATTTTATCTCCTTAACTATTTCCTACTTCACACACCTTAGTAAGGAAATTTATTTACTGAAGATGGCTTTCCCAAAAAGGGATCACACCTTTTTGTACTTCCTTGGTAATAACCAGGACAGAAGAGGTTGAGGATTATATAGACCTGTTTTTTGGAAATTTAGGATTTTGTTCTGAACATTCCAAGCATGATGTTTCTTTCTTTTCCCTAATGGCAGATCCTGCTAGCCAGTGACAGCCCAGCCAAAGTATAACTTAAAGGGTTCAAATTTAATTCTGATTTATCTATCTGGATTCTTTTGTTGGATGACATGTCCTAGATCATAAAGATGATATTCACTCAGCTGAACATCATGTAGAACATGATAGAAGGCATAATAAAATGCAATGTCTTATAACCAATGTTCTGAGTGATTTATAATATCTGATTGTGATCTGTCTTTGACATTACTATTAATCATATATAAGCATAGAACTCTTTTACTCCTTAATTCAATAATTTTATTTACTTTGACATATTTATTTTTTAAAATAGCTAATGCATGCAGGTAATAAAAGAGTCAAGCATTACAAAAGCATGTGCAATAAAAATTTTCTCAGAATTTCTCATATCCCTGGCTATCTCACTCCTGATATTCTTCAGACGTAATAACTGTTAATTTCCCAGGTATTCTTCCTAAAGGAATCTTCATAATCCATTTATGGACAGAATTAGAATGGCCCTCCATCTGGATGGGAATATATGGGTCATTATGAGATACATAAAAATCAAAAAACATAAACATTTGCCAAATAAACAAATAAAGCCCTCTGGGCAACTCTAATAAGCCAAGCAAGTTGAAACTTACATGGGTGAATTAGAAAGGACTCTATCAGCTGTGTTTCTTGAGAGTAAAATAATGGAACATAACACAGTCTGTCCCAAAAGTTTCATAGTAACCCACATATGTAAGCCATAATTTTCATAGTAGAACATCAGGTATACAACCTGATTGGCTCATTTGGAAGCCTGTGGGTGTTTCGACACAGTAAATTCAAATAGTTGTTATGTGTCAACTGTAAAAAAATTTAGGACACAAAATCTATATATTTAGAAAAAAGAGCTTTATTTCTACTAAAGGGGAACTTTATTTTAATCTGCCTGTAGGAAGTGAAGCCTCCGGCTGAAACCAAAAAGCAGGTGCTTTGAGAGAGAGAAAGATGAAACAGGAATTTATGCTGAACAGATTGGCTAAGTATATTATGTTCTACAGGTTATAGAAGGATCTATAAATATTTACAAAGGGGAGGCACTTTCCTGTATAGTAAGTGAACAATGCATGTTATATATGTTCTATATTCATTTGGGGTTGGAGATCTATCATTTAAATGTGTTACAGTTAGGCCCTATATATCAAAAGGTGAAACAGAGGACACAAAGGCACTCAGAGTATAGACTCTGTAGCCTAGCCAGAACCACTCCATGGTCGTGGTCACTTATCAAGAAGGAATGTTGGTCAGTCGCCATATCAAAACTGCAAGAAGAGCAGAACAGTATTAGGTAATTGGTTGAAATCAATAGTGGAGCAAGTCTTTTGAAAGGGCTGATTTCTGTTTAACCCATATGAAAAAAAGCCTAATAGTGGTTAGTGAGAGGAGTTATAAT